ATGGAGGTGTCTCCTCCTGGAATTCCATCCCTGAGGAATGGAGGTGTCTCCTCCTGGAATTCCAGCCTCCATGGCCTCCCCTCCTGCTCCCATGGATTTGGAAAAGAGGCACCAGGCTTGCCCAGGGGTTTGGGCTTTTCCAATCTCTCTGTGTGCATCCCCTGGGATGACCCGTAAGGAATTCCTCAGATAAAACTTCCCAAAGCAGGGAGGAGCTCCCGGATCGCTGTGGGGGCTGCAGTGGACGATCTCCAGGTCCCTTCCAACCCCTCCCACTCCAGGGAGCTGCGATTAACGGGCCTGGAGCTGCTTCTGGAAAAAAAAAAAAACCTCTCTGCACCAGCATTCCCAACATTCCCAACATTCCCAACGTTCCCACCTTCCCTCCAGGCTTGGCTCAAGGCACCCAAGTCCTTCATTCCCGAGCCCAGCTCTTGGTTTTCCATCCCTCCCTCAGCCTGGGATGATGCTCTGCCACATCCAGAGCATCCCCGAGTTCACCCCAGGCTGATCCCTTGGGAATCGCTGGGAAGAGCTGATGGAGGAAAGGAATATTCCCATTTTCCATGCCGGGGTCGCTGCTGTCCCCTGGGCATTCGGGGATTGGGGGTGACCAGACCCAGCTGCAAAAATCCCAAAAAAACCAAGGGCAGGGAAATCCGTGCAGCTGCAGCGGAGCATTCCTTCTTTTCCAGGGACAAATTCCTTCTTTTCCTGCTCCCAGGGAATGATTTCCTTGTTTTCCTCTTCCCAGGGAAGAGATTCCTTGTTTTCCTTTTCCCAGGGAACGAATTTCTTATTTTCCTGTTCCCAGGGAATGAATTCTTTGTTTTCCTGTTCCCAGGAAAGATCTCCTTGTTTTCCTGCTCCCAGGGACAAATTTCTTGTTTTCCTCTTCTCAGGGAATGAATTCCTTGTTTTCCTGCTCCCAGGGACAAATTCCTTGTTTTCCTCTTCCCAGGGAAAGGATTCCTTATTTTCCTGCTCCCAGGGAATGAATTCTTTGTTTTCCTGTTCCCAGGGAAGGAATTCCCGGTGGGGCATCACAGCTCCAGGGGTTCCCAGGCTCCCTGACCATTCCCTGCCTTTGTGTCCAAATCTCTCCTTCCCTCCCAGCCCTTGTGCTGGGAATCTCCCCCTTTGGAACCTCTCTGTCCCAAGAAAATAATAATGGAAATAATGGAAATAATGGAAATAATGGAAGTAATGTCCTGCTGGGCTTGGGAAGAAGCCTCAGGTGTCACCTGCAGAGCCCAAAATTCCCAAAATTTTGGGATTCCCCAAAATGGTGGAACAATTCTGGGAAGTTTAGTTATGGATCAGTGTTGATGATCTGGATGATCCGAGGTTGTTTCCAAATTTAAGAATTCTGGGATCTTCCCTGACCTGGTTTCTGCTGCTTTAAGGGATCCTTTGCTGCTGTGGAATTTCCCTTTGGGAAAAGCAAATCAGTCACAATTCCAGGTTTGCTTCTCTCAGAGCATCCAAAGGGATGAGCCAAGGGAGAAATGAAGTCGATAAATGTTTAAATAAATAAATGTTGAAATCTGGGGTTGTGTCACGACGTTGGGTGACCTTGACAGCTGCATTTTGTGGAATTATCTCTCCTCCAAAGCCACCCAGTGAACATTTAATCCCATTTATCCTCGTTTAACAGCTCAGGACACCACTGCAAATATTTGCTTTGGCTTTGCCCTCTCAGCCCCCCCCCAAAGTTTTCCTTTCTGGGGACAGGAACCAGTTCCAGGCTGGGATCTCTCCTGGAATTAAAACCCAGCTGGGCTGGGCTGGAGATTCCCTGGACACTGAGAGAGGATCCAAAACTTTGGATGTTGGGTCTGGATGGAGGAAAAGGGACAAATGTTGAGGATTTGCAGTTGGGTTTGAGCTCCCAGGGCTCCTGCTGCAGCTCTGCTTTATTTGAAAGAATTTGGTTTCCCAATGTGAGTTAATCTGAGTTTTCCCTCCCCACATCTTTTGTTCCAATTCCCAAAGGCTTTCCCAACCTTTTCCTGCCATTTTATCCATGGCAGAAATGTTTTCCTTCCCCAAATTCCTGCTGAGGGACAGACACATCCAAGGGCTCAAGGCACCAACCCTGACAAAATTTGGATTTTCCCCC